GCCATTTATAATTTATGTAAAAAAATTGTGACATTTACGTAGAAATTTGAAAAAGAATATTAATATTTTAATAGAGAAAAGTCTACTTCGACTCACGGCAGTGATTAAATTAATTTGCCACTTTTAAAATCGATGCTTGTCGAGGAATCTAAAATTGATATACATACTTGTACGTACGTACATCATTATTATCATTTGATTCAAGGAAAGTTTTGCATTTCGGTGTATTCGTTTGCGTATTAATTTTGGTTTAATTCTGCAGTTTACGCATATGGGAAACCGATTGAGATACAATTTACCAAGTTTGGTATTCATCGCTCGTCGCGTCGTTTTCCTAATTAGACGCGGCCGATGAAATTCGTCGTGCGAGCAACAATAATTTCATTGCTAGAGTTCGCGAGCTGGTTTCCAGCCACCGGGGGGACTTGGTTAAATTACACCAGCAACGTCTAAGGACAGACGCGGCAACTTAATTAATTGCTACGACGGTGGAATAAAATCATCATGCGCGGCAAGAATCACGTTTTTCCAAAGCGAACAAGGAGCACGTAGTTGATGTATTAGAATCCATAAAGAGAAAATACGCAATTTTATTTCTCGCGCGTGAGCGCAATTTTGCCCTGCAACATGCGCGATTCTCATTATCCCTGTTTCATACGTCCGTCTCATTCGCAAATAGGAATTTAATTTTTTCACATCTTTCCATTTTTCTTCAAATCTCTCTCTTTCTATCTCTCTCTCTCGCTCTCCTTCTCCATTTCTCCTTGTATCTACTTATCCATCTTTCACTCCGCCGATTTACATTCCTTTTCGGATATTTATTTTTCCTCGCGTTTGCTCGATTCGCGCAGTCATTATTCAACCACCCCAATTTCCAACGACCACTCGCGAACAAATGAAAATATTTGCTCGGGAGATTTGCAGGTTTGATTGCTGAATTTCCTTGCCGTTTTTTTACTCCAACGGAAACGTAACGTTTGCGATTTATTTTTGACGCACGATATTACGTGGTTTCGAAAAGGTGAAGTGGATGGATAAAATATTACCGCCAACTTTTACGGAGAGGAGAAATTGGGAGGGCAGGCATTCCATTTATATGTATACACATACATACATACATGCATATATATATATATATATATATATATATATATATATATATAAAGTAGCTCAATTCGCCACGATCATTTTTTTCTGTCGACATTTTCACTTACAGAAGGCTTACGGAAAATGAAAGAAATTTTGGACACAAAAGTGACGTACAAAAACTGCTTTTTTACGTGAGAAAAATGTAATTTTCTACATACACGTATAAGCGTGGAATAAATATTTCACGCTGTAACAAGTGGGGTAACGAATCGAGTATTGGATTGTCAGTTAAAAAGTCGAAAACGTTGTTTTATCAATGACTTGAAATTTGCGCACACCTCACATTTCGCTCTCTGTCACACGCCTCTCTCTCTATATTATTTATAAAAATACACATCTCCATTTTCCAAGTATATGTCGAAATGACTCCATCCACTATATTGTTTTTGTTTAACGATTTTTAGCGAAACAACCGGAATCGTGACAAAATGGCGCGAGGATAATCGGTATTGTCCGGCACATCCGGGTGATAGGAGTCGAGCGTGTGGATCGAGTTTGGCATCAAACGAGGTTCTGTAATCCTAACTCGCTTCGGTCCGGGTCGAAGGATCTCGCGGTAATCCACAGCTAGGATCGAGCTTAAATCGCTTCTCGTGACACTAGCTGAACAATCCTCGCCTCGGGGTTCAGCGGCATCCTAGACAGAGCCTGCTAGCTCGATCGTAAAGGACCACTCGAGCACCGTAAATCCATCGTCGCGCTTGATCCTGATAGCAAAGTTCTCGGCATTATCCTTCCGGAGCACGTGTCCTTTTTTTTCTTCCTCGAGAATGCCCGACCAGATGATGAAAATCCATTTCATTTCGCAGCGTTTTACGCCAAATATGCCGTCGTTCGAATTCAAAACGGCGGATAGATAATATCGAATCGAACGTCAGTGTTGCGTACGTTGGATTCGTCGAAAGTTTCAATCGTAATCAATATCTGTCATCGTAATCAATATTCATATTCGGCATCGCCGACGTAGACTCGAGGGCGAGATTGAAAATCCAAGTTTCGAGTAAATAAAGTTGGTCGGTCGCGTCTTGTAAAATGTGTTGAAACTCGTTGGTTCAATTTTCCGCCCTCGCTCCCTTTCCTCTTATCCCTGTCATTCTACCTGCTCCCTGTGCAAGTCGGAGTTCTCGAGACTTGACGAAACTCGATCGCATACAATCGATAATTCTAACGTGAAATTGAGCCTCGGGGGAAGCGGGGATGAGAGGGAGGCGGGCTGAACGATTCGTTCGTCTCGGGCTTTTTAAAATTAACTCGGGTTATAGCCGGTCGAAGAAGAAAAGCGGAAATGTGAGCTGAATCGCAGCGGATATCCCGCGGATTTTATCTCGTAACTGCATGAATACGTGCTGCGATATCCAACTTTTCCAGACATGTGTAACCCTAGAAAAAATTCGCATATTCATCGAGCGTTGATATTCCTTGTAGATGATACGATTTCCGAATACGACTTTTCTTCTCTCTCCCTTCGTTACTTAAACACGTGCAAATATTTTAGAAATAATTCCGAGCATTAATGAAATGTCATTACTATAACGTATCTCTCTCTCTCTCTCTCTCTCTCTCTCTCTCTCTCTCTCTCTCTCTCTCTCTCTCTCTCTCTCTCTCTCTCTCTCTCTCTCTCTTTGTTGACAATTTATTAGAAACGTATAATTCATTATTAATTATAAATTTTTAAAGAAACGAGATACATGTATAATACATATGTTGTGATAAATTCCGAATCGTACGTATAAGCTGTATTTTGAAAATAAACTCGGTAGTCTTCTCGAGCTCGAATCGAGCTAGCGATAGAGAGGAATCAATAATCCCCGCTGGTCGCAAAATCGAGAGCACGAGCTTGAAACGCGAGACTCTGCTTTCGTTTCGTTCGTCTGGAACTTTAAAAATTAACCTCGCGCGCGCTCGAAGGCCCGCTGAACGGCCCGTCGGAGGAAAAGAAACGGACGGCAAAATAGATACGGGGACACTCTAGCCGGCGTCACCGTCGATTTTCCAGCGATTCAGACTGGAAAACTCCTCCGCGCTCTCTCGTTCGCCCTCTCGTCGATACTTGGACGCCGTAAATCTTGCAACGAGAGAAAATGCCTTCTTTTTCGTGCCCCCTTGGCGTCGTTCTCGTCGTTTTCTCGCCCGGGATAGACGAAAAAAAAAGAAAGGAGAAAAGGAGCAAGGAGAAAGAAGCTCGAAATGTTCTCACTTGACGACGCGTCGTCGTATTTATACAGTTGTAAAATTCAATCGCCGATCTCGAGGCGTCAAAAGGCACTCGCCGCTCGAAAGACGTCTCGCGTCTCACGTTTGACGTTATCGTTTATAGCGGCAGAGCCGAGGCCAGAGCCGAGGGCAGAGCTTCTCGTAAATCATGCAGCAGTTGCAACTCTTTCTCAGAGGGTAAACAAATCTTTGGCAACTTGGGCCAACGCTAAATGTGTGAGAGAGAATTTATTTATTTTTTTTTCAACGATTAAAACTTGGCCTATCCAATTTTACGCGATAGGAACTTGACTCGATAGCGTCTTTAAACGATCGACAAGACCAACGAGATATCTCGACCGTACGTATCAAACTAAAATATTGCAAAACTTTGGCATAACTCTGAGCGATATCGACGACAAAGGGGAGAATGGTGCGCTAAATTAGCGATCAAATACCGTTCATTGTTGGTACACGCTCGGAACCGATTCACACGGTCGCCAGACTAGCCAGTTTAACCGGAAGATATCGACAATGGCCGGAAACAAAAGCTACCATTGTGAAGCCCACGGTCCAGTCGCATCGGTCGACGATAGAGCCACTACCGGTGGTGATGGCGACTTGGAGATCGAAAAGAAAAAAGGGAGAAACGCCGGTTAATTTCCCATGGAAGTAACCGATTGCCGCGGAAAAATAGCGAGAGAGAACCAGACGCGCGGTATATATCACATCCGGTCGACGCAGCCGCTGACTGTTCCCCGGAGGCTGTGCTGCACACGCGATGTTTTGCTCTCTCGCGCTCTCTCGCTCTCTCTCGTTCTCCGAGCTTGAGCTCCAGACTACATTCACTTTCGAGGGTTATCAGGAGGTCCTGCGGGACCGACAGAGCGCGAGCGAGCGAGCGAGAGAGAGAGAGAGAGAGAGAGAGAGAGAGAGAGGGAGGGAGGGAGGAAGGAGGAAAAGTCCCGCTTTGTCCAGCAGATCCCATATTTCAAGGGACCTCGTTGAAAAGCCCTGTACCGTACGTAGAGTGCGCGTTCGCACACCGCTCGCGTGTATGTAACCGCCTCGTACATTTCTTTCTCTCTCTTTCTCTTAGTCTCGGCCGAGGTGAGGGGTGCAACATTGACAAATGTTCCACCCACCCGATTCTCCATTTTTTGCCTTTTTTCTCTCTCTTTTTCTTTTCTCTCTCTCCCTGTCCGGATACACATTTATGCGACAGTAGACACTTTTTATTATCCACCTTTTAACGACGTATCTTTCCACGCGGATTTTACCACAATCCGCTGATGAACACGCGCGCAATCTTATCGTGCGAGAATTCTAATTTTCGTACAAATCGTATCCTTTACCGAGGATAAAAGGGAAAAGGGGCAAGCTACTCCCCAAAGAGAATCGTGACGGTCCGCGTAGGAAGAGGTAATTAGAACCGCACGTGCGCATCGTTTTTGTCAAAGGAACGAAAATGGTCTAAAAGGGAGCCTGGGGGAGATTTCTGGAAAATGTATTGGAATAATTTGCTTAGGCGATGCCAACAATTACATGGAATTTGTTTTTCTAAAATTGACCATCTCGTACATAAATATTAATTAATAAATTACGTAAAGATCAATTCCAAGAATAAGTAATAATTTTGTCATTTTCATTTTTTTCAGGTTTACGTACTCTTTCGGATAACTAGGACCGCAGGAAGAAGAAAAGTATTTGGCAGTTGCAAGAGGTGCGAGGTATGTACTCTTATTTACTCTTAGTTGTATAAAACTTAGTTGTTCAAAATATATACAACTAAAATACACGTATAAATTTAATATATATGTAGAGAGATTCGCTCTATCAATCTCGGGTTATTTTTGCGTGCGCATTAAGGCTCCGGTCGAGATAAGAACCGTATGCAAAAATGCTACAAAGTCGAAGCCGTAATATGCTCTTTGTTTTGTTTTATTTGTAAATAAAATGAAAGACTCTCGTGTGACATCTCGACGACCGATCCGTCAAAGTTTCGACCGATGCCAAACTGCATTTATCGAATTATTTCGAGTCATTCGGTAGAAATATAATATTCGCCCCCCTCCAATTTGTTTTTCAACTTGCCAGAGGATTCGGCGTTAAAATCGCACTCTCTAAAAGTGAATCAGTGTATTATCACTGAAAAACAGTAAATATATCACTAATTACAGCAATTATAACTACAGCACTGTAAATCAGTGATATTTTATTGAAAGAATTAGTTAATAATTTTGACCGTTTCAATCAATAATATTATACTACAATTCATCTCTCTTTCATATAAAATTAAACATTTTATTTTATTTATATTACATACGTATTGAACTTGCTATTTTAAACAGATAACGAACGAATAATAATTTTCATTAAGTCGCCAGACATTTATTTGCCCGACTCATAAGATCGTCTTAATATCTGAAATTAAATCAAAGTTTTATTTTTAATTTTATCTGTCGCTCTTTGCAAACTTATATAATTCTTATGACTACGAATACGAGAGAAATAGCGATCGATAAACAAACAAACTAGCGATTACTGGTTTTACAGTGAATTTTATTTTAACTGACCATAATCGGGGAGATATAAGATAAAATAACAAAAAAAAGCGTTTCCACTGAAAATCAGTAAAATACTCCCTGATTCTCAGTGAAATCTTATTTACTTATACACTGTTTAAATTAGCGATATTTTCACTGATTCACTTTTAGAGAGCAGATTCCAGTGCATCTCGCGTACTAATCAACGAACTAATTGCCGATTTATCGGGAACCGCGTCATTTCGGCAATCGTTTCGCGCACGAACGGATAGTTTTATTCTCGCACAGCCCGGGAATCTCTCGCCCCGCGCCAACTCTTGGTGCATTCCACCCCGGAAAACATACCATCTCCATTTTTCTCCATCGAATGTCGCGGCTCGTAATTTCGCATTTCAAGCGGTATATAATCGTCGACGGTAATAACGACGCCGAGATAATAAATATCTCGCCAAAGAGAAAGGGGGAATCTCCGTGCCTCCCTCCCCGCGCTCGCAATTACTTCCCACGTTTTGATTCGAGAGGAGGGAGGAGAGAGAGAGGGAGAGATGGGAAAAGAGGGACATCGATATAGTTATCTCCGTTTGCTCACGCACGTCCGGTTAAAGTTGGCACGCCGCGCTTTAATTTGCAGGAAACTTGCCAATCCCGCCGGCGCAGCGTCGCTGATGGTTGATATTTCGCTACGCGAAATGAAAACTTTGACATCCGAGAAGGCGCAACGAGTCGAAAAAGGTGTCGTCGACGAAATAAGCGTGGCATCGGAAATGCACGATGGGGGCACGATTTGTGGCATCGAGTCGAATTAATCGGCCGGTAGAATCGGACAATCTCGGGAAGAATTACACGTGTATAAAGATATCGGGAAATGAATCGGGCGACGCATAACGCCGCAGCTCGGCGATGATGAATCGTTATAATCGTGCCGCGACTCGCGGCAGTCGGAAATGGTCAATGACGATCCATCTTCCGATGTTTACCGAAACACGCGTAGAGAAGGCGAAACTAGGCGTCCGTCGTCCATCGCGCGCGCGTTATACGTATATAACTAATGCAAAATCGATAGTTCATTTCGCGGCCGCTACAAGCCCGGTTTTTGTTAGCTCGCCGGCGAGAGGACACCGAGAGGTGTAAATTAGAGTGCACCCGTAATTGGACGAAATGCGATATCGGATCAAACGTAATATCGGCCAGCGGCAGCGTCGCGTTGTTTACCGTCGTCGATCCGTCACTTTAATATGCGTAATCGAATGATGTAACAGTTGAAAGTCATTCGACTGGGTTTTCAATTAAACGAGATGAGCCTGCAGAAATGAATTCGCGCGTCGTGACTTCTCAGATCGGAAAAAAACCTAATTTATCGAAATAATCCGCAATCACTCGATAATATCAGTATCTTTCCAAGTCGATTACGCGATTGCAAAATATGCGGTTTCATTAAACGTGGATTATTCCGTCGAAGGAGGAGAGATTATTTGTATAACGATTAAGGACGGATGATTGCTGGATGATCGTTTCTCTTAAATTACACTGCTATTCGTGCGCGCGCGCGCACACACACACACACACACACACACACACACACAATATACATCGGCCATAGACGATGCAACCGATAGTCGTAAAGTTGGTCGCGGTAAAAAATGTCCAAACTTGTAAATAGTTTCTTCCGCATTTTGAATCGAGGGAACGCGATGACAAAGTACAAAGTGGAATTTTCAATCTCGGGAAGCGCATCGACGGTAACGCCAACATCGACAGAGGCGCGTCTGCTTTCGAATTCTCTCCTTTTTTTTTCTTCTCTCGACTTGGACGTGACCGGAAAGACCGAGGCAAAGATTACGTTATGTCAGTGCCGCGAGAGAGGACGACGATACGCTCGGAAAGTAGATTACGATAACGCGTGTTTCTCGCGCACGCACGGTCACGTGAGACACGCGGGATTGAGAGAGAGGAGTGAGAAGGGGGATGGGGGGAGAAGGAGGAGGCAGCAGAAGCATCTGGAAATGCGAATGACCGAAAAAGGCGCGACGCTGAATATGCAAACGCAATGGGTGACGAGAGGAGAATTTTCTCTCGTACGCTCGGAATTTCAAGCGATCGGAGTGTTTTTCGACGCGATAAATCATTCGCTCGTATGAATTAGTATTTTGGATAGAGTCTTAAATATTTAAACAGTCTCGTACTCGAATAAAATCATCTTGAATTTCTTTACGCAAAGATATTTATCTGAAATATCGGAATATTTATAAGGAAGGATATTGTAATCACGACAAGTCTAACGAGAGGGGATATTATTTTACTTTTCATATAAAGGCAATATTATAAATTTACTTTTCCAAATCTTATACATGTCGCATATTTATAGAAGGTTCGTATTCCATACAGAGGTGAACTGTAAATGATGTTTAAAATAGCAATTCAAGATATTTAAGACGACTATTTCCGTCTTGTACTGAATTATAAATAATAAGGTTAAATGTTATATTAATGTTGTATATTAATATTCATTTTCCTCTTACAATTTGCACTTTTAGATTTATTTTTCAATTCATTGCTCATATTTTATTAGTACATTACTTTCTTTTGTCTTGTATAGTAACATTTCAATTAGTAATTTCATTTATAATACGTTTAAATATATATTTAAATATATATTTTCTATATATTTATATACTTGTATATTCATATGCGGAGAAGAAATTTTAATTCGATTTAAACTGTGCTATATTAAATAATTTTTTTTTAGTTGGCCTCGTATTTTTTTTTTTTAGCAAGAGAAAAATTGTTGCCTTTTCAAATCTTGAAAGACTGAATAACGCTGTCGAGCGATAAATTAATTCAATCGTTGCACCCACGCGTAACTTCTTCTGCGCTTTGAGTTCCGTTCTCGTTGTCTCATCGCGTTATGTTACATGCAAGCGTCTGACAAGGTAAATCCGCATGATAATATTTCTTGAAATATTTGTTCCAGTTCCTTTCCAAATGTTTACATTTCACGAGCAACTACAATGGGTACAAATCTATTTCTAATATTATATTTAATAAGAGAGAATTTGTTTAAATATTAATGTATATATTGGAATTGATATAAGTAAACTGTCAGATTTTTAACATTTCCAACCATCTGTCATTTTCTCTTGCATCTTTTTGTTTATATTTTACTCGATTCGGAAAATGTTTTAAACTCTCAAGACACATTGCAGAGAGAAATCATTTTAAAAACTTTTCGAGACTTACGTTGACTTTTCCACAAGGAATGTAGAGAGATATCTCTATTTATATATTTTTCAAAAGCTAAAATTAAATACCATTGCAATTTTGTAAAATGGAAAGGAATATTTGAAATTGTTCGAGCTGTTTACGACGCACTCGTGCGACTCTTGTCACGACAGTCGAATATTAATATTCGTGCGGGAGTTTTGTTGTGATTCCGATTAGCGATAGGAATTTCACGGGATAGAACAAAGAGAGCCGCCATATCCTCCCTCGTGCTATTTTCCACCTGAATGTCCATTCGCCGTCCATGTGTGCGTGGATGTGTGCACCGCGATTTCCCGGTATATTCATTCGTATTCCGACGCAGTCGTGGAAACTTTGCGATAATTCGATGCCTCGTCGACTGCTACAACAGCAGCAACGGCCTCCGTCATCGTTGTCGGACCAAAGCGGCCTACGTGACTTTCATGTCGCTTCCCACTATTCCTCCTTCGTCCCGATTCTTCCCTACCATTCAGTATCGTAGCGATATTGCATAAAGCCCGAGACCACGACACGTATTATACATTTTCCTCGACAATTGTCAGACGGGATAATACCATCTTGCGTAAGCATTCAACCATTACCATTATTATTTTCATTATTTGTAATGGACAAGTATCTGTTAGATACTTTTGCAATAATTTCACTTTACTTTCCAAATTGGATTGAATTGGAATGATGTTAATATTGGAGGGATCAAACGGACGTTTGATTAAGAAGAAGGGAGATTGCATTGTTGAAAATTCAAAATGAGTTCTCTTTTTATTAGCCGCGTTTATTAATTGAGAATATTACTTTTTTAAAAGAGCGCTATTTCTATAAATATTCTTTTTAATTCGATGCGCTTATATAAACGTGTTATCACTTTATAATCTTTTCCATTTTCACACGTTTGTCGACCTGGCAGGCGTTTAAAATATCGCAAA